ATTTAACTGGAAATTAGTAAACATAACATCAAGATTATGTTATATGATTCAAAGAATTATTATTAAATATATAAATCATTGTGTGATGACNGGTAAGGAGTTTAACTAAAATTCTACCTCTTCAGATTGTCTGGACAGCACTTTATAATCCAAGGTTCGTTGGAACATTTTTGGAAGTAAAATTATAAATATTGTCAAATATTGAGTATGAGAAAGTCATGATTGAATTCCAGTGGCATGGCATCATTGGAAGCGGTGGAAGCACCGCTTCCCTTGTATTTTCCAAAAAATAAATACATATTGCACGATTATTTTCATATTATAACGTATTTTGGATTAATTAAAATTAATATTTTAATTTAACCGCATTATGTATCTTATTACAAATTTCTATACTACATGTGAAAAAAACAATAAGATTGCTATTGTATATTCAAATATCAGTGGCGGATTGGAAGTGCTGTATCGTCGAAACCAGATCAAGTTCCAAGCAGCCAGATTATACGCATTTGCACATGCGCAGAGCACCAACCTCATGTGGTTTAACTGGCGGAAGCTACACACATATATTGCTTCCAATGATTCTATCCAGAGGACCAGTTCTGGACTGTTAGATATTTAGCCACTCTCACCCGATTATATGAATCATGAGTAGATTTATAACTTAACCCAACCGATAAGAATTTACTGGTATGTTTTTATGATAGTTCTGTATAGTTGACAAGAGTTAAAAAAAATCCATTAAAATATTTGATATCTTTATTCTGCTCTCCCATCTTATATTACTTACGGATTTCAATGTTAAACCAGTGATATTACGATTTCATATATCCCATCTATAAGGGGATGTAGAAAAAAACGTGTACAATTCTTGTACTAAGTTAAAAAATTAACTGTTACTTTGGTAGCATCATTTACAACTAAATTTAATAATTTTTTTTTTGGTTGATTTTTCCGTCTGATGGCGAGATTATTATTAACCAAATCAAAGACAAGTCTGCCCAAGAGGGATCACCATTTATTTTGCATTCCAGACTATACATACACATTCATGGCGACAGGCCTTCCTTTTTTAGGCTTCATTCCGCCAGAGGTAAAAAAGTCCTTTAAAAAAACACAAACATCCAATTAAAACTAAAAGAAATATGTGACACACAGACGTCTTACTTTTCATCCATCTGGCCAATGGGGTGATTCTGTTTTATATTTACTGGAACAGGTGCTGGAAAATGTAGATTTTAAAGCTGCCCCCTGGTGACGGTACATTTAAAATTTCTTTTTGTTGATTTGATGGTTAAATTTAATGAATGAGAGAGATGCACGAGGTACAGAAAAAGCTCTAGACTTTATTTTCCTTAAATTTACGATTTATGTATCCGTTGTCATAAAAATTTGTCTTTCCACTTTTTTCCTGAGACTACACATATTCAAGTACAAAGTAACCAGTTTTGACTTATTTCTACTTAAGAAGTAGTTAAATAATTAAGAGATTAGGGAATTGGGGACATAAATAAAACTCTGCTGAAGGAGCTGGAATTTTACTTAAACAAAAGCTTAACTGAACCAGTTTCTAGCTGAGTACTGTGGGGACTGATTTCTTCATAATATTAGATGTAATAAAGACAGAAATTTTTCCAGTTCAATGAGAGTTACCAAAAAGTTGTAAATTTTGGAAATTTCCTTGGACACCTGGTCCTAAAATGAATTACAGTAATTAGAAAACAAATGACTATTAAGTTTAACATATTTAGATTTTTACAGCTATGGTGAGAAACATTTAAAATCTACAACAGCCCTGTTGCATCCTTTGAGATATACTAGTGATGTGACAAAAGAGGCATTTGACATTAACTGGTATCAGCACCTTTGGGATTTGGCATGCATGCGCACACTGCACACCTACCAAGATCGTCTCTGATTCCATCCATGAGCCACTCATAGGGAGCAATTTTAACTAAGTGGATTGTTTTAAGATTTAAAAAGTAAAGAATATTTTGTTATTTATATATGTGTTTGTTCACAAAACTATATTTAATTATAATTTTCTTTAAAAGTATATTCATAAATTGAATATTTTGTACCAGGTACAGTATGTATAATTGTATATCCATCACACATTTTATTTTACCAAGTAAGTTTTAATAATTTTATTTTTAATTTTAGCCCTTATATCATAGCTAGCGATTTATAATGTAATTGTGATATTGAAAATTTATTTTAAAATAGTTTTGGCTCAAGACTATATAATGAAAAAGAAAACATTATTAAAAGAGAAAGACCAATGCCTAAATTAAATATAAATACATCAACAAAAAAATTTGTTTGACATTTTCACGATAAAATTTATGAAGACATAAAATGGCTTTGTGGATGCATAGAAATGAAAAAATTGTTTTGTAGGCCTTGCCTACTATTTTTAAATGAACGTGTGTGGAATAAGAATGGTTTTGACAATTTAAATAATTTGAATAAAGCTGGCAAAAGACACGGAAATCGTAAATGTCATATTGATTCTCTCATAAAATTGAAGCAATTGGGAAATCAAAGCAGAATAAAATGTAACATTAGTAAACAATATAAAATAAATATTGAAAATTATAACTTAATTACGGCTAATAGATATATTATATCTAAATTAATAGATGTTATATGTTTTTTCACAAAGCAAGAATTGGCATTTAGAGGGCATAGGGAATCTGTTGAATCTAATAACAGAGGTAATTATATTGAACTTGTTTATTTATTAAGTACATCAGATAATCTATTAAAAATACATTTAAAGAAGTGTACGGGTTTTACTGGCTTATCGAACAAACGAATACAAATGGACCCTGACACACAATTAACTGATTGCCCCTGTAAGTCGGCTTCTTACAGAAACACAGCTTCCCTTTCATCAAATGTCACAATACGCCACTGTTGAATTCATAAGTTAAAAGCTTATCAACTGAAGGGTAATAACAAAAAAACTCAAATTGGAGATTTTAAGTTGAACTAGATTCAGTCAAGATCACACAAATAACAATGTAATAAATTTAAAGAGTTCCAGCCTATTCCAGCAGTAATTTTTTTAGTTATCTAATGTTTTCAGCTAGCTTAGTAGCCATCCTTAGGATCAAACATTCATGTAATAGAATTCTTTTATATTTAAATTTTAACATTGTTAGAAGTGTTCTAAATATGAATCAATGATGAATAACCAAAAACAACATAAAATAAAATTCCAAAAAAAATAATAAAGAAACATTAATAAAATACAAAAATGATGATAATCCACTACAAATCCATTGAATATGTACAATAGTAATTAGAGTGTAGTTTTAATCTCGTTTTGGTTTATAACATACTTCCATGCTGCAGATAAGCAATTGGTATCATTATGATAACCAAACTGGAAAATGCTGATTTGGGTTAACTATGAAAACGATAATTGTTTCAAATATTGTAGCTGTAACCAATAAATATAGTTAGTAAATGATTTTGATGGTTCAGAAAATGTAGGAGTAATTAAGGTATTTTTTTCAATTTTTGTTTACTTGTCCCCTGTTGCAAGGTAATAAACCTCAGGGGATATGTACATTTTATATATGGTGTTTAATCAAGGAAATATAGTGTTAAAGTTGTCAGATTTTACATTAGTCTCAAATAGTCTAAAACAATAAATATTATCATAAAAATTCATAACATGATATGTCACTTGTAGATTTTATATTCTAAAAGTGGCATATTAATCAATTATTGGTTTTTTAAAAAAATCTAGAGAATTTATTTAAGTATTTGTATAGTACTCTAGCACAATACATAAATAGCTTTCCAAAATTTTGGTAAGTAAATATAAAAAGAATGAAGAGTTCCACATATAGAATGATTGAATGGCTTCTCATTTTTCAATCTTATTGTGAACAAGTAGCTGCTGCTGGGACAAGAGAATTGAAATTAAGCAAAGTTGAATGGCAAAGCCAAACCATACATTTACACTTCAAAGCTTCTGATGTGACTCCTGAAATTTTCATGAAAGAGTGGCATAAACTCGCTAAAAGTTTGCAAGACAATGCAGGAGAAACTGCAATGGGAATTTTATCCTCAATGCAAAAATGGGAGGAGAAATTCTTTAAAAGTGTATATTTTCTTGCCGGAATTTAAATTGATCTATGCTACAAGATTTCACTGAGTCCGCAGCAAGTAATGGAAGCAAAAGAAGGACTCTTTGATATAGCCCAATGACTTGAAAAGCAAAAGATTTTTCAGCATTTCAATACAGTGCAAATGAATGATAGATTCAAATTTACAATAGAACCATCTCAGACAAGTTTTCAGTTATCACAACAGGAATATGATACTTCCAAAAGCATGATGATGATTTTGAAAAAGAACTAAAATGCAGACAAGTTTCTGAACTATACAGTTCAAGTGAAGAAGAATTGAAACAACATTTTCAAGAAGATTGCAATACAATGGAGAATATGGCAGGTTCGAAATAAAATTGGTATTTGAGGTGATTCAAAATTACCTAAAAAGCTTTCAAGTTACTTTTCAGGTTGCATCAAGCATGCCTACTCTCAAGTGAATGTGGAGTGATTATTTCCAGTTCTAAAATTAATATTAAATGACTATTGACTAAAAATGAAAGATTATTTACTTTCTGCTATTTTATTGTACAGAGTGAATAATGATGACGTGTTACTGTAAAATAAAGTTTTTTTTTTTTAAATTTTTGAAGTTAAGTATTTATTTTCAAAAATTTTTCTTAAAGAATAGAACAAGCATTTTAATGCTGTAAAGGAGCATGGAGTGGAGCAATAAAAAAATCAATTTACTCCAAATGCATGATGATAAACAATTTCCAATATAAGCTTTATTAATTACATATAAATTTAATAAAAAATTTTCAATTTATAACTTATAAGACAGTTCGTATAAAAATATTGTAATCTTATAGCGATGTACTTAAATATTTAAATATATTATATAATGTAAGATGATAAATTGTTACTATATAAATTTCATTTTTCATAAAATGATTTTTAAATTTAATGTGTTTTCTAGCATACAAGAAGGTTATTCAATTATGTCTTTTACCTGTGATAATACGGGTCGTTTAGCTCTTCTCAATGTAGCAACTCAGGTAATGCTTATTTTTCCTTATTTTACATATATTAATATATCTTTAAAAGTAAATTATATTTAATATTTTTCTTATAACATAGATACTTGTAGTCATTCTGATTTCTCTCTTACTTCACCAACTACTGCTATTGCTTCAATTTCAACTTGAGCACCCTAAGACAACAAACATATTCAAAATAAATATGTATTTTTGAGAAATATCAACTAACAACATAATGTAATATCAGATCATTTCAAATCAATGTTTTCCAATTTGTGGATCATACATAACCCCCAACAACAAATTGTATTGTACCATTTATTTTTTTCTAGCTCAATGAAAGAGAATCATAAAATATATTGGTGTGACCATTACATCACACTGAGATGGCTACGTCAGCAATGCCCAAGAACTGACACCACCTGTGACTTTAGGTGCACAGGAACCTTCCAAATAATTATCGCATGAGTGGTCCTGTATGAGGAAATAAACAGACCAGGGATGGAGGAGGGAGTCAAGAGACAGTACACTGGAAATAATGCACTCCACTATACATTTAACCAGCAAACAATAAATATTTATTTTTCAAGAAGGAAAAAAATTTACAAAGAAAATTGAAATAGAGAGGAGA